CAACACATTTCTAGATATAGAAGGGCAGGTTCATCTAGATATACATGTATTTTGAAGAGCACTGCATTATTTAATAGCCATATCTTTGATATTTTACATCCCTAGTTTTTAAGTGTTATAAATAACTTTAGATTTTCTTTAGTTAGCATATGATGCCATGCTGGCTGTGGGCTTCTATTTGTTTATACAGTTAAACTAAATATTATATAGAGACTCATTTTCTTTAGTCTGTTTTCTTGGCAGATGCTTTGTTGTCAGACAGAAATAGGTTCTAATCCCATCCTTGCCATTTACTAGTTAGATGATGTGGCCAAGTAAATCAGTTTTTGCATATATACATTGAGAATAATTATTTGGACAAAATATTTGTGTATGTGTGACAGTTAGTGAAATAAAATATATCAAAGGTCTGTGAACTATCTTCCTTATCCTGACCCACCTTCCCGCAACCTGATTCCTCCTCCTCCAAATGGGCCAAGGACCAAAACTTCAAGTCTCTCTGGGATAGATTTAAAAATCTGTTATTCGGGCTTCCCTGGTGGCGCAGTGGTTGAGAGTCCGCCTGCCGATGCAGGGGACACGGGTTCGTGCCCTGGTCTGGGAGGATCCCACATGCTGCGGAGCGGCTGGGCCCGTGAGCCATGGCCGCTGAGCCTGCGCGTCTGGAGCCTGTGCTCCGCAACGGGAGAGGCCACAACAGTGAGAGGCCCGCGTACCGAAAAAAAAAAAAAAAAAAAAATCTGTTATCAAGTAAATTCGGAAAAATAGGATCAAAGAGTAACACACTGCTTTATGGGCTTTATAGTTTTGAAACATTGACTATGGGCTAGTGGTCCTTTCTTACAGGCTCTAACCATGTCTCTCGGGATGAAAGAATCATTGCATTTAGAAAAGATAGCCAGTAGAAAAAAAAAAAAAAAAGCTGTTTCCAAATATCCAATGATTCATTAAAATACTTTTGTTTCCTTAGAAAAAAAGCTTCCACATATGCACAGTAATCATTTGGCATTTTGTAGGCTTAAGCCTTGGGAAGTTAGTGGTATTTGGCTCCTGACATGGAAGTCTTTCTCTTGTCAGACAAATCCTTTCCCCGGCACATTCCTGTGCGAGTTTGTTTCTGTTGTGCCTGATGGCAGGCTGTGAGGTGTTTGGGCATGGTTCACACTGCCTAGGCTAGGCGGACTCCTTCACACTGCTACTTTCAAGTCTTTCTGAGTTAATTTTAACTCTGTGCCTGTTAACTCGGTCACTGTTTCATCTAACTCAAGGGTTCTTTTACCTGAAGGAAATTTGTCATTACTCTGCCATGGAGGATGAGCCAGTTAAGGTGCATTCAATAAACCGAACTGTAGTCTTTGAAATTCCTTCTGATGACTTATTTTTGTTAATAATTCGTAAGTGTCTAGTAAGAAAAATATGAATACTTCTGACAGATTGGGCTATTTTTAGGGTGTGATAGTGCATTTTGAGAAAAATATGAACCACATTGCCTTTCAGCATTGATTCAGGAAATCTGGGTTCTGATGATTTGAGATTTATTTTCAAGTTTTAAATTTTATATATTACTTTCAAGAATGAAGATAACACTAGGGAAGTTTCATTCCAAGGAGCAAACACCAAGTAAATACAGAATATGGCAACAGTGTACATAAACAACATACTTAGTTTTTTTTGATAAAAGGCAAAGGATTGATTTACAGTCACAAAAGCACAGATAACAGAAGGCAGTTGAGGCTTAAGAGTCATTGGGGAAGGAGATTAGGATAGTGTGAATGTTAGCATATGGATCAATTGCTGTTTAAATTGTGTGTTCCCATTTTCTTCATGCTCACACTTGATGTTTAAAAAATGTATGTAAATTCAGTGTTGTCATTTTAGAAGGCTATCAGGCTGTTTGGATGCTTTAGAATTCTTATTTTAACCAGTGATGTTGATGGTGTGGTCATAAATGCTCCTGTGTGTTGTAAACGTAAATATTTAAATGGGTACACTAAAATTTGTGAAAATTGATGCAAAATGCAAGAGGGGGGTGAGAATTATGCTTTATATCCTGCCCATTGGTAGCTATATCATAGGCTCCTTTTTTATTTTATTTTTTTGATGGTCTCCAGCAAATTTATTTAACTAGTAGAAGACCTGCCTCAAAGAGCTGGGAGAGAGAAAAAAAAGTATATTTTATAAGCATCCTCCCAAAATGTATTTAAATAGAGGAGTCAATATAGATATTTTTATAGTACCACGGGTATTTGAAAGGAATATTTCAATATATACTTATATAAATGCATATGTGTATATATAGATATATATTACATATATAGGAAATATAAAGATTATAGGGAATCAATGCATCCGTTGACAGAATTGACATTTAGAAAATAGACTCATAAAAGGTATTTTGACACAATGGAAGATTTTGCTTAATTTTTCCCCATTTCATAGTGAAAAATGTATAACTTATTTGTATCCAACTACTCAGCGATTGGTTAAAAAAGAATAACATAAAATTATATAGCATTTAGAAAATTGTGTAATCTTAATTTGACCGAAAATCTATGGTTTAAATTCAACTGCCATCAATGTAAAAATTAAGAAATTTTATTGATACCATTATTGATCATAATACTCTGCTACATTTGCATACAAATGGAGGCTGTATTTGCATTTGATTTGCAGTTCTCAAATCTTTCACATATATATAACTTTAATTTTATTTTATCTAAGAATCAATTGCTAATTGGGATAAAATTAAAAAATTGTCTTTCTTTGGATAATTAACATAGCCAAGGCTCTTTCATTTAAGGAATAAGCATTAAAATTAAACAAATTAAACAAGTAGATGCAAAGCCTGACTCTCACAAACTGATGCTGCACTGGACGTTAATGAGAAAAAAGAAATCGGTTTAATAGATAATACTTAACACTTAAGGCAGTGAAGCCACTCTGTAGATCAGTTTTAATCTTTTTCCCAAATAAAAACAGTGCTTCTTTCTAATATGCCTGAATATTCGGCAGAGTGTGTGTATTTGCTTAAAATGGTATAACTTCGGTAAATGCACATGTGCCTGGAGAAGCAGTACTGTGATTTGACTAATAAATAGTAATATTCATGTAACTTTATAATGGAATTTAAAGCCAGGAGTAACTGTAGAGGTCAGTTAGTTCAATCTTTTCATTTTATCCATAACCTATATTACTACGGTGTTTTTTACTATTGAAGTTAAACATAACCATGTTCAAATCTGAGCAGAACAGATTGTAAGAATTTTATAACCACTCAGTCATTACAATCACCCATTCATCAGCAAGACATATTCACTCTCAGGGAATGAATCATCTATTCATCAAGAAGCGATAACCATACTGACACAGATTTCAAATAAAAAGGGAGATACATATAGTGTGTGTGTATATATAGCAGCCCTAAATAATAAGCAGCAGCTTGTAATGTGCCTGAACATTTCAGACCCTACCTCACACAAGAACAACATATTCATTGCTGGGGTTCAGTTTTCCGAATGAGGCATTTATAATTTGGGGCTACAGATTTTGGGGCTAGTAATTACCACTAGAAACATTGAGTCTTGGTTATGTGTTTTGATAACATTTGCCAAACTATGTGCTTACTGACTATTCTAGAATGATTTATTTTTTTCTACTGACATTCACTTTCCAACATGCAGTTTTTTCTGAAATAAGAAAAATGGTCTGACAAAGGGTCAGGTTTTGTAGGTATACAGATGATAGGATGCTCATTTTGTCATTAAGATAATGAGTTTTATAGTTTTTTAGCATTATTTTCTTATATATAATTTGCACTAAAGTTGATTATAAAAATGATATGGGCTCTATGAAAAATATTTGGAAATATTGAAAAATAGGAATAAGAAAATAACAACCAACTACAAGCTTACTACCCAGAAAAAGAACACAAAACATAACATTTTGGTGATTTATTTTTCTGCACTAGATGTCCCTCCCCTGCCCTCCTCTGACACATACATGTACACACATATGTACATTTGTGTATTTTTATTATGCATTCTGGGTCCATCACTTATAAGCTCTGTGACCTTTGGCAAGTTACTTCACTTCTCTGTGCCTCACTTCTTCATATTTAAAATATGGAGAGTAATGATAACCACATTATAGAATTGTAAAGATTACATGGGGTAATAAAGAGTATCAGTCATAATATAAACTATTACTAGAGCTACGATTTTATGTTTTGAAAACATTTTAAAATTACCAAACCTTTTTCATTTTGATTTAAAAGCCATCCTAGCCATTGCTAGTATCTTGTATTATTTTCAGCAAGTCATCATAATACCTTTTTTTCCCCTTTTATGATAATGGTGGTAAGTGGAACATTTGAAAAATATGTTCCATGCAAAATGGATCTTCACACAGACTTATTTTGTCATTTTAGTTTGATTTTTGAGAAATGAGTTCAGCACATCTGCCAAATCCTTTTATAAGATGCTACATTCCTGTTTTTATTTTAGTGTATTTCATTTATGAAAAACTCTTTTCTTCTCCACCCCTCCCCCAGACAGTTAGGCCTACCATCTCCATTCCTCCCTGTCCCGAACTATAATGTTGCTGTACATTAAATCTTTAAAATAGAAAAGGGAACAAAAATGGAAGGGCTCTGTCACTTTCTTTTTTTTTTTTTTTTTTTTTTTTAAGTCATTCTCCTTTTGGTATATCTAAATTAAGCAAAAAAAAAAAGCCTGCCTTTCACAGTCTGAGAATATACCATTGGATAATGGACTTTTTTTTTTGCCAAATTTGAAATAGCAAAGTCTTTTTTTTCAGGGTGGGAAGCAGAAGGCTGGTTTGGGGAAGGGGAAGGTGGAGTAAAGCAAATGAAGAAGAATCAGTTTGTGAACATATGTTAATGTTTAGACTTTTTTGTTTTTTTTTTTTTAGTGAAAAGTTAACTCGTTAATGCTTTTTGTACAAACTGTCTTTGATACTGTGTTTTGTTTATTCCATCCCAGAAGAAGTTAGCGGTATACAGCAAGATGCAGGACTCTCTGGAAGTCACCCTTCCCAGCAAACAAGAGGAGGAGGAGGAGGAGGAGGAGGAGGAGGAGGAGGAGGAGAAAGACCAGCCTGCCGAGATGGAGTACCTTAACTCTCGCTGTGTCCTTTTCACTTATTTCCAGGGAGACATTGGGTCAGTAGTGGATGAACACTTCTCAAGAGCTTTGGGCCAAGCCAGCACCCTTCATCCAGAATCTGCCATTTCAAAAAGCAAGATGGGGCTAACCCCCTTATGGCGAGGTAAGAATTCCAAAGCAGATGCTCTCCAGGGCACTGGCTCTGTTTCGCAACCGTCTGTACCAGGTTCCAGCTGGAGACTTGCCCCTGGAGGACGGATATCCACTCGCTTTTTAATTTTTAAGGACAGCAAGGAATTTCTTTCAGACAAACAGCTGGATCAGTTTTGTCACATGTGGAATGCAGGGTTGGAAAGGATGCAGTCACACCCCTTAAATTCCTCGTGGAAAGTAGTGATGCAACTGGCCTGAGTTCATAGTGGCAGGATTGAGCTGCGAAGCACCATTCCTTAAGCCCCGATGGCCCAATTTGGATCTCTAAATAATAGGCGTGCCTGGATCAGTGTTTAAAAATTAGCTCTTGCTCATTCCACGAGGTGCTACGTGATGACATAGCAGAGGTCTGAGTCTGACCCAGGAATACATACTTTGAAAGCCTTTTGTGTTCTCTTGATGGCTTTCTCTGTCCTGCTTTGTTGTGATGTTAACTCTTTGTAGTGTACAACCCAGACATTATTGACTGTATCTCCCTGGTTTAAGCTATTTTTTTTTTTTAACTCAGTAAAGCAAAGCAGTAGATTGGACTTCCTCTTCTTTATTTCGCTCTATATAGAGGTCACAGAGAGGTGTGTTTGAATCTGATTTCTGACTCACAGAAAATGGTCTGATGACAACTTAATTGAGATAATTACAACATTAGAGAAAAAACAATCCATCATTCCAATGGTAGTTTTAAAGAAATATGAATGTTTCTTCTGAGCTCACCTGGTTCTAAGAAGAATCTAGTAAAATGGTTCTCAAAGTGTGGTTTCCAGGACCAGGAACATGTGCATCACATGGGAGTTGTTAGAAATGCAAATTCGTGGTCCGAGCCCCACACCTACTGAATCAGAAACTCACAGGTAGAGTACCTTGTGTTTTAACCAGCCCTCCCAGGGATTCAGGTGCAGGCTCAAGTTTGATAATTGTTGATCTAGTGCTGCTAAAAATCACAGATTGCAGCCCCCTTATTTGGACCTTCGAATCAGACAGAGGCTCCAGAGGGAGGCTCTGGGAATCACTGTAATAAGTGCCCCATGTGATCCTATGGTGAGGAGAGGCTGGCCACCAGTGATAGGTCACCTGTGGTAGGTCACCTGTGGTAGGGGGCAGGTGAGAGGTGATGAGTGGTCGGTCCCCTCTCAGCATCAGAAGAATGGTTCTTTCTTGTCTGCCTGCCTTTCCTTCCCTTTTCTCTCCTCCCCTCCCTTTCTCTCTTTTCACCATCCCTCCCTTCTTTTCTCCTTTCTGATAAGAAATATGAACAACATTGACATACACAGTGACTTTAAAGAGGAAGGTGGAATCCATATTCAAGTGACCTAGACCTTGGTAGAGGTGAATTGGGAAGCATACTGCTTATTTGATTAGTAATTATGGACTTCCCACAAGAACTGAGAACTTAGTCCTCGAAACCCTAAGATGCTAACAGAACCAACAATGTCCTATTTGATAGCACATTGTGAATACTTTTAATAGCTTGTGGAGGGTGAAAATAGGAAAACTTCAGTGAATTAGCTGGCTTTAATAAATAGTTTGATATATCAATAATAAATCCTATCATGACAATCAGTCCCAGGAGAGTAATAAATGCAATGCCTAATTCTTTTAGCATACTAGCATATGCAACCCAGTGATCATTTAACTTGGAATATAGGAGCAAAAGCCCCAAATTATAGAAAGATGTAAGAGTGATTGTCTAAAGTATCATAACCATAATAGTTTTAAGTGAGGTGTTGTGTAAATGCAAAAACTCTAAATGTCAGTGTTTTTCCCATAATCTGCATGACTGAGTGGAGAGGATCTTTGGAAGGCTGTCAAATTTCAGTATAGAAAGTGTGGATAATGGTAATGTTTTAGTAAGTATTATTAGAATTTTCTTGGCATTATCTTAAATCTGGCCTTCAAATCTATCTCCCATTTCATTCATTGACTTATGCAGCAAATATTTATTAAGGTCCTACTATGTTCTAGGTAGTGGGAATATAGCAGTGGACAGGAGAGTCTAAGCTTCTATACTCAATGGAGCTTGCTAGTGAAAGAGACAGGCAATATATATATAATGAGATGCAAGGTATTATTTTACTTAGAGTGATCTAACAGATGGTCTCTCTAAGACTTACATTTGAGCACAGACCCGAAGGAAATAAGAGTGCTTCTTATCACACAAATATCTAGGGGGGACATTATTTAAGGCAGAGGGAACAGCCAGTGCAAAGGCCCTGAGGAAGAATTGAACTTGAGTGTTCAACAAGAAGCAGAAATACTAGTGTGAATGGAATGAAAGAAGAGGTGTAAGTAGAGACCAGAATTTTTAGAGCTTTGTATGTTAGTTTATCAGAGTAGCCCAGGCAAACACAGCATGCTTTTCAATTTCCATCTCTTCCTTTTCCACTGAGACTATATATATCCTATCTAGTTAACTCACATCGTTTTCCCCAATACTCAGGATAATGCATTTCTATGTGAAAAATATGGAATATGAATTGAATGATCAATTGATTAAATTAGATGAACCAAGTTCATACTATGTACCCAGGATTAGAAAACAAAAAAAGTCCTTAATAGACTTAATAGAGAATTTATTAGTAATAAGTTGTATGCAATCTTTGGGTACAGTTTTCTTATTTATAAAATAAGGGGGTTGAATTAAGTGGTTGTTGAAATCTTTTTTTTCTGTGAAGTTCTATGATTTCAAATGTATTAATTACTTTCCACTTGTGAATAAAACTTTGCCATAGTTGTTTCTAGTTGTGAATTAGTGTTTTTAGTTAAGTATACATAAGTTGGATAAGATTCATATGAAATCCACAAAATGTAATTAAGGATTTAGCAACTACTGAATGTGTTAAAGAGAAGTATAATAAATTGAGATTCCCATGTCTAGTTAAGAGAGTTGCTGGAAATATTGTATTAATTGCCAAAGCAACACAGGTTTGCATAATGCGGTCTTTGGTTGGATTATGTTTGTTTTGGGTTCAAGTTTTGACCTTATTACTGCCTGGTTGCAATGTTACCTTTGAGTAATTCTCAAAGTCTCCCTGAGATTAACTTCAACTATAATATGTGTTGATTAATACCCATCTCCTAGGGTTGTTGTAAAGATATTTTGATAATATATATGAATTATTTGGCATAGGGCTTGATGCAAGGCACTGACTGAAGGTCAGATGCCTTTTCTCTCTTCCTTAAGTAAGTTTCCATTCATTTGGCACATAGAAAACCAACCTTGGATCTTTATTCAGAAAACTGTTTTCTGGGAGTTTGTATTCCTGGCAAAAATACAGTGTTTTGGACATACTAAGTACTCAAGGCTATTGACAATGTTGATGGCCGTGGCAATAATACTTTAGGAGGAGCTGCTGACCAGCTGTATTAAATTAAAGGGTCTAATTTATGGCATGAGGTTTTTACAGTGCTACACAAGTGCTACAGTACTTCAAAGAATTTAAAACTGAATTATGTTTGGTTGCAGAATGTATTTCCACAGTAAATCTTTAGGCAAATGATAGAGTGTCAGCTAATGATGGAACAGCGGTCATACGTTGCGTCTGTATCTTGATGGAATTAGGAAAGTCCTCTTTAAACGTTTTGCAGCTTTGAGGCAAGCAGTTGACAGTAAATATTTGTACTTTATTTGACATGACATCACAACGACTACCTCTTCTCCCATTATATCTCCTCATGGATTGAGTAGGGCTTCTCAATTAAGAAAACCTAATGAATCTGACTGTCTCCTTATCCCATCCAATAGAAGCATCGGCTTCAAATATGTCTATTCACTGACCTCAGTGCTTAAGTGTTATTACAGAAAGTGTGTGTGTGTGTGTGTGTGTGTGTGTGTGTGTATGTAGGGAAAGCGAGTAGTTAAGTCAAGACATAGACAAATATGTCACTGGCTTAAAAACTATGCTGAGTGGTAAACTTGATATACTTTTTCTTCTTGTAGTTGCAAAGTAAATGTTTTCTGCATGACTGATCTACATCTGTCTTCTTGGAGCAACATTCTCATAAGAAAGCCCTCTCAAAATGAGCATTAAACTTAGCAAAGAGGAGGAAGGGGAGAGAGGGCCTATCTCCTGGGCCGACTGAGACAGGGACGGAGAGAGTTGGGCGGCATCTCTAAGAGGCACTGGAAGTAATCGCTGCTGGGAAGCTTAGAACAAACACGTGGGAGGAAATTGAGGCCTGGTTTATCTCATTGTCCTGCCTCCAAGGAGTAGGGCAGCTGACAGCACCCCTTGAAACTCTCACTTTAGAGTCACAAGGCCCATTTTTAAGCAACTCTAGAACAAAATACCTGGAGGGCAGTCTTTTGATATAATGGTAATGCTTAATGCCTGAGTGACAGAAAACACTGGAACACGTATCGTTTCACCTCTGACCCAATGGGTTATTTTTATGGGAAGCAGAACAAGAGGAAGGGAATTAAAATTAGAGCGAGGGCCCTCTAGGTTGAGAATGGAGTAGCAGTTTTTTTCACTGAGGTTAATAAAAAGGTAAATGTTATCTTTTAACATGGATGTTTTCAATCAGTATTTATTCTAAGAATATGTTTTCTGGAGATTTTTAAGATGACTTAAGATAGAGGTTCTACAACATTTTATGGTCCTATTTTTCCTTTTAATATAGTTTTCATTTTTTTTTCAAAATTAGGTAACAAAATATTTATTTTTTAAAATTATATGTTGAATTTTCTCTCGCATAAAATGTTTGCCCTTAGGTTGTTTTTCAGAGGCATTGAAGTTTAATGTAAAAGGTATCCCAGCTACTGTGAAATTGAAAGAACCACCTGATGATCCATGTTAAAGTCTTTTATGTCTCTAAGACGCATTTCTGCTAAAAACCATGCCAGTGGGATTACTGTGTATGCTTTGGGTGGATTGTATGGGACAATTTCTTTTTTTCTTTTTTTGTTGTTGTTTAGAAATAAGGGTGTGTATGCATGTGTAATACTCTTTAATCCCAAATGCAAACTGAACCAAAGTATATTTAGACTTTTTGTACATGTTAGACTCAGTGTTAACGTCATCCAAATATCCAGTATCATTGAGCCCAAAGTCACCACAGAGTGTGAATATCGCATAGTTCTGAATTGCTAAAAAGTAATATTGCATGGAAATAGCGTGTGCAGTTTTTCATAAGCTTTTTCATCCAAAAAATGTGGCTGTGATTAAATACTTGTAAGCAAAGAGTCATGTAATGAAAAAATTTACACACATATGAAATAAGCACACTGATTCCCAGGCATGAAACAAAGAATATCAGCTGTTTCTTTGTATCAAGAATTTCTTTTTTAACAATCAAGATACCAGATAGTGGTTTTGAAATGTAGACTTGTCCATAAACATTTTCTGTTCAATATAGTTTCATTTACTTGTAGACTGCAACATTATTTTTGAAAAGAGCTGCATAGATCTCTGCAAACTTTATGTTAATCTCAGGAGACATACTGACTGGGAAAATATTAAGTTGCTTCTAATTTGATTTTTCCCTGGGGCATTTTAAAGCTTTGTTCAGCCTCTATGGGGTGCATTTTTTAAAATAGATTTCTACTTTCAATGCTAATGTGTTCACTAATCACAATACAATACGTCATAAGTAGGATAATATTTTTGGTAAGGAATTTTTTCATTATTCATATTTCTGCACGCATATCCAAAATGCGTAAGCATCTGTAAAATAAAATTAGGTCCGTGGACATACAAATGGAAAGAAACAAAAGGAAAGCATCCAGGGAAATGACATATACTCTCTGTACTTTTGACATTTTAATGGGGGATATTAATAAAGAGAACTGTCTGTCTCTGGCACACACCTGTGTGTTGAGTTCAGCTGTTTTTAAAATGAGATTCTGGCCCCGCAAGAGATACAAATTATGAGCAGAATGAAGGGTTTGCCACCAAAGATTGGATCTGTGAGAACAAAGGAGAAGATTGGTGGTGGCAAAGCTGCACTGTATAATATAAGGAGCCTCTATAAACTCTTTGTATGAGTTTTAAACTTTAAACGTTAACAGCTTTCTACTGTGGGTATGATAGAAATATTCTACAAATGGCCATCATTTAAGGCAAATTGAATTTTCTTCCTACAGCTTACACAATTTTCCTTCTTGTCATTAGCAGCCATGTTTCATATGTCAAAGGAAGACCATTCTTAAATAGGACATATTTGCCTCAATGCCAGTAAGTGACTTTAAGTGCTATTTTTGGATAGATTATGATTGTGACAAAACTAAGCCATTCAAGTAAAAGTTTGCCAGGACTGTTGGAAGGTTTGAAGAAGAGTTTGTCCTTTCATCCTTTGCCTCTTGAAGAACATCATCGCTTAGATTTCCTCAAGGGTTTTGAGATCCATGGAGATCCTGAGCAGGGGGTGGGAGGAAACTTGAATTGAGACACTGAATAGCCATCTGTCTATGGATGGGGTGGATGATAGCTCTGCTGTAGGGCTGATGGGGAGAGAGAGGAAGAGCTCGCAGTGTTAGTGCCACAGCCTTTAGGGAAGCTAGAGAAAGGAAATGTTTGAACAACCCGGTGATAATCGTAATTACGTTCATCAGATTACACATGTAGGGGTTGAGTCAAGTTATATAAGCTTTCCCTGAGGCAAGAAAACTATGTCCTGGAAGTTTATGACGTGAGAACGTGAACATATCAGACTTCTGAATACTTTTATTTCATAGTACTTCTTAGGATATCTTTCATTCCATGGAAAGATCTAGCAAGGTTCATTTATGTGGAACCCAGTATAAAAATACTATTTTACTGTACTTGCATGACTAATATACTAAACAACCTTATCGTTATCTATAGATACAAATACTCCATAGGACATGTCACAGAATGGTTAGAGGTATGGGGACAGAAGATATTTGGAATTAAATGAGCTCAAATCCTCACATTTGATTGGAGGACACTGAGCCACAGAGAGGCCAACAGATCATTTGGGGTCCTACAGTGAGACAGGGTAATTGCTGGGTGTCAGCTTTCTGGCTGAGCACCCCAGACTCCCAGGCCCATGCTTGCTTAGTTACCCTGCACTGGAGGCACCTGGCTCTCACTGGAGGTATCGAGCTTCCTAAACACAGTTCTGACTATAACGCTCCCTAGATTAAAACCCTTTTAAGCTCACTGGATCTCCTCAGGACAGCGCCCACACTTAGTGCATGGCTCATAAAAACATACCCATGTGGGTCCTTCTTAGACCATAGTCTGTTTGCCACCATCTGCCCACTGAACTCTTTTTTTGTCCCTCAAATGCTATTTTTGTGTGTATGTGTAATTTTTGGCCTTTTTTTCACATACTTTTTCATTAGCCTAAAATAGCAGTCCCCAACCTTTATGGCACCTGGGACCTGTTTCGTGGAAGACAATTTTTCTACAGAGGAGGCGGGTAGGGGGGAGGGTTTCGAGATGATTCAAGTGCATTACATTTATTGTGCCCTTTATTTCTATTATTATTACATTGTAATATAATGAAATAATTATACAATTCACCATAATGCTGACAGGGGGCAGAGCTCAGGGGGTAATGCGAATGGTAGGCAGCAGCTGTAAATACAGAGGAAGCTTCGTTCGCTCTCCCGCTGCTTACCTCCTGCTGTGTGGCCTGGTTCCGAACAGGCCACGGACCGGTAGTGGTCCGTGGCCCGGGGGTTGGAGACCCCTGGACTAAAACACTCTTCCCTACCTCTTCACAAGGCTAGCCCTCCCGACCCTTTCTATTTAGCTATTACTTTTTTAGGCAGCTTTAGTGCCCTCTCCCTGTATTTCCCCTTATGAGAGCACAAACCGAATTACATTGCTCATGTCTATTTACTTATCTGTCCCCTGCCAGATTGTGATTAAAGGTGATATCTGTCTGGTCATCCCTAGTCGCCCCATGTTTCACACATAGTAGGTCATCTATATAAACATGTCAAGACCATTGAGTGGAGAAATTGAATTGAAGCAAAGTTGAGGACGGGTCTCCCTCTTGCTTATTTATCTCCAAGTGCTATTCTCTGATATCATTTCCCCTTCCCTAAACATCTCCTCAAATCCGTTACCCCAGTTGAGTCTCCTCCACTCATGATTTCCACAGAATCTTCACCAAATTCTAGATGTTCAGGTTATAGTTACAAATGTGCTGTCCTGTGGCACAGGTATGATGAGAGCCAGCCATCCAGGCAGGCTACCTGTCTTCAAAGCCCAGTCTCCCACTTACCAGCTGTGACTCTTGAGCTTCTTCCCTGCCTCAGTTTCCACATCTCTAAAATGGGGATAATAATAGTAACTACCTCATAAGGTTGGAGTGAGTATCCAGTGAGATCAAATCCATGCAAAGCTCCTGGCCTAGTATTGGGCATTTGGTCACTGACATTAAATGTGAACTATTATTATTTTCAGTTTAGAAACTCCCAGACCTGTACAGAAAAAATAAGCTTGGAACATACTCTTCTTGATGGAAAATGGGTATTGGCAAACATCACTGTGATCTTACTTCCATCTGTTACTTTCAGCATTAAAATGCTTAGTTTGGGTGAAAATTGTATTTTCCTTTAAAAGAAATTGGTAAACATCATCGTTTCCAACCTACCTGAATCGCGTCTATGGCATAAGCTTTTCTTACCTGAGACTTATATACCTGTGACCTCTGCTCAGACTTGATGGCAGCAAGACACGCAGGAGGAAACGAAGCTTTCCAGTCCCAGACTTGCCGACCTCAGCCTAGACTGTGACAGCCTAAGCTAAGCAAACAAAGCAGGGGACTCGTTCAGCACCTGGACCCCTGAGTACTGACCTGGCATGGCAACTCAGAGGCTTACCTGGTATCTATTCACCTCTGTGTGGGGAGAAAAAGAGTGTATTCTAATTAGCCTGCTTGTAAAATATTGGACAAGTAGAGGCAAGTCTATCCCAGAACTGAATCTTATGTAAATAATGTATTTTTCTGTCTTCTCAGACAGCTCAGCTCTCTCAAGCCAGCGGAGTAGTTTCCCGACTTCCTTTTGGACCAGCTCTTACCAGCCCCCATCTGCACCCTGTTTGGGGGGAGTTCATCCTGACTTCCAGGTCACTGCACCCCCTGGCACCTTTACTGCCGCTGACCCCAGCCCCTGGTCAGGACATGGACTGCATCAGACTGGCCCCGCCCCTCCCCCTCCCGTGTCCGAGTCCTGGCACTACCCTTTGGCATCTCAGGTGAGCCCGTCCTACAGCCACATGCATGATATGTACATGCGGCATCACCACCCCCACATGCACCACCGCCACCACCACCACCACCACCACCATCACCACCACCCTTCTGCTGGCTCTGCCCTGGATCCATCCTATGGGCCCCTGCTGATGCCGTCTGTGCGTGCGGCCAGGATTCCCGCTCCCCCGTGTGACATCACAAAAACAGATCCGACTACAGTCACCACTGCTACCTCAGCGTGGGCCGGAGCCTTTCACGGAACCGTGGACTTAGTGCCAAGTGTGGGGTTTGATACAGGTGAGCCCGGTGATTTCCTCCTTTCCATAAAAGAAGAAAAATTAATGAAATAAATACAGAAAAATGGAGGATGTTTTAAATACCTGGAAAACTTTTTTTCTCTTCCATGGAAAGTTCAGCTTTGCCCATATGTTTATAGAACCAACCATTTTTCAAGAATTCCTGCATTCCTGCAGAAACTGGTATGACTGCGTGAGAGAGGTCTCAGAACTTTTCTCCCATTTCTTAAGCTAGTAATCTGTTTCTTTGAACTGGAATCTCTGGCACCTTATATTTACAAAGATTTAAACACATTCTTTAAATCTCCCATGTCTCTGTGCTCTATACCAGTGATGTGTAATGCCTAACAGAATTCAGAAATAGTATGTTTCAGTAATTTTTCCTTCTCCCTTTTTTGTCAGGTCTTATTTATTATTTATAAACCAAACTGCTTTCTGGAGTATAATCCATGTAATATAATCATGGTCTTTAAAAAGAATTATGGAACGTATTTTAAAGGAATGGATTTCTCTTCCCTTTCTTCTCCTTCCCTTCCTTTTCCTTCATTTGCCTTTTGTTATTTTCCTCCTCCCTCCCTCCCTCCATCCCTTTCTTCCTTCTTTCCTTCCTCTTGTCCTCATCCTTATTCTCCTTCCTTTCTGTTTCTTTCCCTCTCTCTCTCGTTTTAAAGCATCAGACTTGAGATTACTCTAAAGTCTATGTTCAACAGATTTAGAAAAAAATTGGTAAGGGAAATATTTCTTCACAGAGCATTCAGCTCCTCTCTGGAATTCACTAGTTCTGAAGGTCATGGTGTTAAATGTTTGAGCTTGATTTTTGGACCAGATTACACATATTAATAGTGTTAGTAGTTCTGAGTTCACAAAATCACAAGCATCACAGGCTAAAAAGACAAATCAGGTCAGTGATTATATCCCCAGAATCTACGTTCCAAAGGCAGCCACCTCCACCTCCAATCCCAGGTTCTTTTCCTGGAACACTTTGTGACAAATTAGAATTTTCTTTCCAGAAGTTTAAGGAAACTCACTCTTTTCTTTTTTTAATAAATTTTAGTTCTTTATTTTTTCCTTGTGATGAGGAAACTCACTCTTTTCATAGTTTTTCTTAGTTTTATTCTTAGTGTGCAAGATCTTTAATCTGAATGCTGGTCACAGCAGAGAAATCCCCAGAGTAATAAATGCTGAGCATCAAGTTGCGTTCACACTGACATAAGTGAAACATTCTTATCTTGGTTAACTTGTTCTTTACTGAGCTTTCCAATGTTGGTCATTGCCTAACCTTACCCATTTCAGCTTCCTACTTAGCCTCTGGGTTCAAGCTGGTTTTCTAAACTCTCAGGGGACTTGGTTCTCCCTCTCTATGAGAAGAGAATATGATGGGGCTAACCACCACAGGCTTCCCTCCTTCCTTTGCCACACACTAACAGTATGAAGGCAACTCTTGAGTTGTCTGATGCCTAGGGCCAAATCTAATGAGAGCCCCAGTTTGGTAGCTGCCATCATTGGCAGCCAGTCTCTGCAGGCTCTCACTTTCCAGGTACCTGCGTGGCCAGAGTTAACAATGCTCTTAGCAGGTAAATGGAACATTTTCTTCTTTCTTAGTTTGGGCTTCTTCAACAGGATACCATACACTGGGTGGGCTAAACAGCAAACATTTAGTTCTCACAGTCCTGGAGCCTGGGAAATCCAAGACCAAGGTGGCAACACATTCAGTGTCTGGTGCGGGCCCACTTCCTGTTTCATAGATACTGTCTTTTCAGTGTGTCCTCACTTGGGGAAGGGACAAGAGAGTTCTCTGGGATCTCATTATGAGGGCACTAATCCCATTCATGAGGGCTCCACCTCATGACTTAATTGCCTCCCAAAGGCCTCACCTCTTAATACCATCACATTTGGGGTTAGGATCTAACGTGAACTTTGTGGGGACACAAACATTCAGTCTGTAGCATCCAACCTTTGCATTTTATAACATAAAGGGGAAGGTGGATGTGATTGCCTTTGCTCCCTGTTTCTCTCTGCCACTTATTACCTACTTTTGTACTTGTTAATTTTGGTGTGACCCTGATTCCTTGACTCACTGTCCAGAATTTTGGCTTGAAACAGTCTCTTCGGAATGAAAAGTCATCCTACTACCTTTTGGAAGTAGAAGAGAGGGGATTTTTGTTCTCTTTGAAGAATCTAGAGAGCACCCATATGGGTATATTATATAACAGTTCTTAATACTTACTGAGCTATGAATAAATATGTATTGAATACCCACTATATAAGGTATTGCCAGAGATACTTTATATATATATTTTTGCTTTTAATCCTTAAACCAAATCTGAGATGGATCTTCTCTGATTCAGTTATTGATAAGGACACAGCTCAGTTTTCCTATTTGAAAACTGCTTCCTAAATCACAAATGCTCAAGGTGGATTTGAACTAAGACCTGCCCCAATCTAAAGAGTTGCTGGGGTAGCATCTCCCTGTCTATATAGGTAAAAGAGACTATTAACTAAAACTGTTAAATTAGACTGTAAATGGTTAATATTGAGGAATGAAGGTTTACCTTTTGGATGTATGTAGTGCTCCTCTTTGTCAGTGTGGGTTTAGGATGATGATCATGATTCTTTCCTGTCCCATAGTTTTAACCCAACTGAACAAACAAAGACAAAAGAATCAAGCAGATAAAGATCAAATCATTAGCATAATTACTGATCAGGCCAAATTGGAGATCTTAGATTAGGCTTACTACCATAATTGAACTTCCTGGAATCCTTAGCTAAGTTTAGATTTTGGGAGATCCAATCCTAGGGAAAATCTAGTCTTCAGAGAAGATTCCCATAGACAACTTCCTTGTCACACAGTTTAGAGCCTCGTTACTGTGAAAAGAGATGATGGTTGGTCAGATTTGCCTCAGAAAAGCATAGTCTGAGGCATGACTTACCTTACAAAGGCAGCAGGAGGACCATGCACCTCCCTGCATGGGGGTGGCCCCAAAAAGAGAGAGTTGAAGGGGCTAAGCCACAGGGGCTCATTTTCCTCTCCTATTCTAGGGCATCATATCAAATATCACATCTCTCTTCCTTTAGGAAGAGTTAGGAGTGTTTTAGGTCAGTTTCCCCAAGAAACAGACTCTCTGATGCAGTTTTGGTTGTAGGAAATATATGCAGTAGTGTTCTCAGGGCAACATCTTTGTGCAATGGGAGAAGAATTGAACAGGAGAAGTCTCACAATGAATAAGTTCAACTGAACCTCAGTGGATTCTACAGGGAGCTCTAGATCTGGGATGGCCTTTTATAATTGTCTTGCCTTAAGTCAAGGTGGATGGGCTTTTATATTCCCACACTGATCAGTTACTGGATGGATTTGCCCCTGGAAGGAAGGTCATGACATTAGGCAAGGTAGCCTTGTTCAGCTGAAAGCAATTCCCAAAGCGAAACAACTGAAGGTCATGAGCTGCCAACAGCAGGAGAATGAATATCTCAACACAGAATAGTGAGGGACCTGACAGCCCACCACAGTATCCACTACAGAGGGACAACAAAAGAGCGGTAGCTACTCTTCCACTTTTCTAACTACTTGTAAAAGAAGTTTCTGTATAATAGGCCCAAGCACAGAAGGTAAGATTGTTGAGAAGAATGAGAGATGAGTCCCTCTATGTAATCTGTGCAAAGCTGACCTGACCGTGCAGCCCAAAACAGCTCAGAACTCAACATCTTTGTTAGGTGACTATTGAGCAACTGTGAAAAGAGCCTGCATTCAGGTGAGACAGGCCCGAAACTTCCCAAAGACCAGGTACTTAGGCCACCAAAATGTAAGTCATTTTTACATTAGGAGGTAAATAAATTAATCCAACCATTTGGAGAGAAATTTGGTAAAGAATATGCCCTTTTCGTCAATAGGGGGAAGGTTGAATAATTTTAGGTGCATTTTAATTTTGCGGCCATTTAATGAAATTAAGAAGTCTGGGAGGTTGAACATGATATAATGTTTAGTGACCTAAGAAAGTTTTAGAGTATCTTGTAAGGTATAATCCAAGGGTCAGCAAAATTTTTCTGTAAATGGCCTGATAGGAATATTTAATGCTTTGTGGGGGTCACACTGTCTGTTGCCACCACTCAACTCTGCTTTTGTACTGTAGAAGCCCATCACAGACAAAAAAATAAATGAGCTGGCGGTATCCCAATAAAATTTCTATTGATATTAAAACTTGAATTTTATATGCTTTTTGTGTGTCATGAAATGATACTCTTCGTTTTTCATTCCTTCTTTCTCAACCATTTAAAAATATAAAATCCATTCTTCCATTTTTAGCTCATGGATTATGTATAAACAGATGGTGGGCCTGATTTGGTCTATGGGCTATAGTTTGCTGACCTCTAGTATGTATAGTCCCATGCGAATACTTGTTATCTATCGACACACATACATATGCATGTGTGTGCCTAGAAGTATATACCCCAACTTTTAATGGCCATTACTCCTAGTAATTAGTGTGCAATGTGAGCTTTGAAGCTAGATTGCCTGGTTTTATAAGCCCAGCTGTGTCCCTTGCTAGCTACAGGGCTTTGGGCAATTTTTTTTAACCTGCTTGGTGCCTCAACTTCCTTATCTTTCAAAGATGTTTCATTGGGTGGTTTCAAGGACTAAATGAGTTAATGAAGTAAAACATTTACAGATGTGCCCTGCACATAGTAGGCACACTATAAATTCTGGCTACATAAGGGAAAGTGATCAGACCTTCACTCATTTTAGCTTTAAAAAACTTATTATTGAACAATATTTCATATATCATACACTTCAGCATTTTAAAGCATACAATTCAGTGGGTTTTAGTATGTTGACAATGTTCTACAACCATCTCCACTGTCTAAGTATAGAACATTTCCATCACCTCCACAAGAAATTCCATACTTCCTCCTTCCACTATTACCTGGCAACCACTAATCTACTTTCTGCCTCTGTGGATTTTCCTACTGTGGACATTTCATATAAATAGAGTCATACAATATGTG